CTGCCTAAGGGAAGCATGTATAATGTAAACAGAATTGGTCCTAGCACTGAACCCTGTGGAACTCCATAATTAACCTCAGTGTGTGAAGAGGACTCTCCACTTGAGATAAGATAACCTTTATTAGTCCCACGCGTGGGTTACAGCCGTGGACAGTTGCATAGAAAAATGAAACACTGAATAAGATGTCAGTTAGAAACATTTCCATGAACAAACTGGAGTCTATGAGACCGATATGATACAAACACCACCTAAAGACACGATGATGGTTTGGAGGAAGAGCAGAAAACATCGAGCGGCGCCTCAGACCCGGCTCGCCTCACCTCACCCTCTGTCTCTGTCTGCAGGTCTGGGGAGGAAGGAGTCTCTCCCCCCTCAGCCGACAGCTCTGGACTCAGCGGGACCGGAGCAGGACCGAAACCAAGAGCAGAACCAGGACCTGGGATCAGAGCCTGGAACAAATCCAGAAACAGAAAGTAAACCCGAGTCAAATCAGCAGGAGGAGGAGGAGGAGAAGGAGGCCGGGGACCCCGAAACAGGAGGAGAGACCGATGCTGCAGAGACAGACAGAGAGAGAGAGGAGGAGGAAAACGAGGAGAGAGAGGAGGGGGGAGAGGATAAAGATGAGGAAACAGAAGGAGAGAAAGAGGAGAGGGAGGAGGTGACAGAGGGAGAGGAAGATGGAGGGACAACAGAGGTGGAGGCTGAGGAGGAGACCAAAGAGAAGGCAGAGAGAAACAATGATGAGGAGACGGAGGGAGACAGAGGGGGAGGGGCAACAGACGAGAGAGAGGGAGGAGAAACAGAGATGGAGGCTGAGGAGGAGGACAGAGAGGCGGGAGGGTGTGAGGAAGAGGAGGGTGATGGTAATGAGGGGGGAGGTGAAGAGAAAGGCGGGGTGGAGGAACAGCCAGATGAAGGAGTGAGAGAGGAGGAGGCAATGCCAGAAGGAGGCGGGGACGGGGAGGCAGTGTGACATCATCGCCCGGCTCCTCTGGACTGTCGTCACGGCTCGCCGCGCTCCTCTCGAGCCGACCACCGTAGAAGAAGAAGGGGCGGGATCCACAGTGCAGGCGTATGATTGGACAAGTCTTCTGAGGGTGGGCGGGGCCTGTGAGTGATTGATGTATGCTAGAGCCAATCAGGGATCTCTGGTGGTTTCTTTATTTAATCCTCAAACTTTAATGGTGACAAACTGTCACGTGTTTCATCGACAATCGCATCATTACCGTGGCAACATGAGCGACAGCAGCGCTGCACCTGCTGCAGGCACCACAGATCACGAGCGATCCGATTGGCTCACTGATTCCCAACAGGTAAAAAAAAAACAATACTCGTTTATTCTGTAAACAAAACCCGCCCTCTGTTATGTCATGAAGGGGCGGGCCCATCGCGCTGTCGTGGTGCCTTTGAATCCTGACCACGGTCTCTGATTGGTGGAGAGTTTTATCGATGACTGGTTGTGCCACAGGTGAGTGGAAGAGCTCACCTGTGTACCTGAGGTGATTGTACGAGTGCGTCTGTTTGATTATTTTGTGTAAATCTGAACAAAGATGAGTTTTATTGTTAATGTATTCATAGTTTCTGTGGTGAGGGGGGCGGGCTGCAGGTGGCGCTAACACGCAGTGTGCACCGCCAGACAGATGAACCTTGTATATAAATACTTTATCCCCAGGGACTCTGGGAAATGTAGTTACAGAGCAGGTTGTCCCAGCTGTGATGCGTTCGCTGACGTCGCGTGTCAGAGAGCTTCTGTCAGAGCGTCGGCGTGCTGCTGTTCAGACGATGAATAAAGTGTCCTGATGTTTTGCTGTGCTCGAGTCTTCTTTTCTTCTCTGCTGCTTCCTGCTGAGCTTCGCCCTCGTCATTAGATTCAGGCTCAGGTGGGTACAGGTGTGCCTGGTCTCAGTCCCTGTGGATTGAGACCAGGCACACCTGTACCCCACTCCAACCTTCTTCATCATGCAAATGAAGTGCAGGCTTCATCAGGGCGCGCCCTGAAAACTCAGCGGCGTCCACAGTGGGCCTGATCCCAGGATCCTCTCTATCCAGCCAGGTGTCAAAGACTGTGTGACGCCTTATTAGTAGCAACGCACTCTGGAAGCTAACGGCTCAAACCTAAAGCGGAGGAATCCACTGCCATCTGTTTCTAAGAGCGACACCGTCACGACACACACATGATCTAAAACACAGTCTAGACGTCACAGCTGAGGAGAAAGGCCCGAGCGCTGAACTCGAGGAGGAATCAAGCTAAACGTCAACACAGCGCACCTGAAAGTAACCATGGCAACAGCCACAATGACATCGATGTCCACTGTTGCTGAGGTCATGATGTTAGTGTTTCTATGCTGCGGCACGAAGACGAACAGCTGGCTTCATGAAATCGGTGATGCAGATGTCCGTCGTGCAGCTGATCAGTGATGTGCTGAAGAGTCGTTCTTTCATCACACGTGTCGGCTTTTTAAACAAACCTGTCCTAATAATAATCACTGCAGCTCGTTTACTTGCTAATGCTAATCTGTTCCCCACAAACTCACCGCAGATTCATCCACAAACAGCCCCACCAGCTCCACCCTCTGGAGGTGGATCTGCCCCCCTCCGTGCAGATTACAGCGACTTCATCATCAACAGACGAGTTGACAGTAAAGATTTTAAAACTGTAAAATGAAGTCTTATGACATCAGGTCCCATCTATGGGACAGTCGGTGAGGACATTACCACTCAAACTGTGACGCCAACAAACCATCAACTTAAAATACACAATAATACCTGTAAATACCGAACTGGAGATTGTTATTCATGCTTTTATCTCTTCACGACTGGACTATTGCAATTCCCTGTTTACTTGTCTAAACAAAGGTTCTTTGGAGCGTCTGCAGATCGTCAGAATGCTGCAGCAAGACTTTTGACGAAAGCTTCTAAATATTCACATATAACACCGTTGCTTATGCAATACATTGGCTTCCTGTCGAATTTAGAGTCCATTTTAAGATTTTGGTTTTAACTTTTAAGGCTCTTCAACAACAAGCACCACCATATAGTATTGAACTCTTACAGCCCTATGCCCCTAGTAGGTCTCTGAGGTCGAGTAGTCAGGGCCTACTTGTCATTCAGTATTCCTCAGGACTTACGATCCGCTGATTCATTGATTACTTTTAAAATCAGCTAAAAACACATCTTTTTAAAACTGCTTTTTGCTAACTTTGTTTGTATTTTGTCTTTTTAATCTGTTATATCTTGTAAAGCACTTTGTGATCTCTATCTAGAAATGTGCTATATAAATACATTTTTACTTACTTACTTACTTAAAAAGGAGGTAAACAGGAAGTGTTACACACCTGTGTGTGTCGCAGGCTCTAGGCAGGATACGTCCCTCATCACATGGGTAAAAAACATTTGTATCAGAGCCTCACTGATGATTCAGCTCATTTTTCCTCCACAGATGATCCATCAGTGTTCGTCTTACATTACAGAGCCATCATACAGTATTTATTCCTTTGTATTATCAGCATGTTTGTCATTATGTCCAGAGCAGGCAGCCAAACAAATGCATAAGTCCGTCTGAATAAGTCAATATGGAAGGAAGGAGGGGGCGTGTCTCAGAGTTACCTCCCAGCCAGGCTCAAACACCAAGTGGTCGGCCAGGGCCTGCACCTGGCTTTAGCACTGTGAGGTGCTGACATGCACAAACATGGAGGCATGAAGAGCAGCCACAGATGAGAAAAGAGTGGAAAAATGTAACCAAACATGAGCTCATGGCCTTCTTTGGATTGACTGTTCTCGCAGGAAGTGAGAAGGACTGGGATGTCCCAGTCAGTGTGTTTGTACAAGGCCACTATGTCAATTCAAAGTTTTGAAGATATTCCCTGTTTCTTTGATGCCAAGAGGACCAGAGCCTACCGACTGAAAACAGACCACATGGCAGCTTTCTGCTGGTGTGGGAGCTGTGTGATTGTGTTACAGAGGCTGAACAACGTGTGCCTGTCAGAGGGAGCACCGAGCTCCTGCAGTGGATGCAGAGCACGTTTAAGAATATGTCATCTTCACCCAAATGAGAGAAATGTCTTATGATTATGTGGAAGAGTGGTGACGCAAAAACTGCAATTTCTCAAAATGAATTAAAAAATAAATAAAAATGCAAATGGCCTCATGTCACAAACGTGTTTTATGAGGAATACCTGGAATATGAAAATATTACAACTGTTGGTTTTAAAGAGTTTGAAGAATAAAAACCGAGTTCACTGCAAAAACACATAAATTTTATTTGGGGCCAAATAAAATGATTTGGAGCAAAGAAAATTTCTCTGTGTCTGAATTAAACTGTGCCAATCAGGACGGATGACAATCACTCTCATTTGATGCCAAACTGCATTATTTTAAACTCGTAGGTCATTTCCAGGATATTTCAAATCAGACTTCAGTGGTGGCAAAAACAGATGTTTAACATCAGGCAGTGAGGCCACAGCACTCACACTCCCACACAGCTGTGAGGAGCTCTTACAGACCACGGTGACTGTGCAGAGGGACGTTTGTAGAATCAGCAGACACGTTTAACCGGAGGCACACACAAGTCCACTCTGCTTACTGGCTCTTAACTGACATTAGAAACCTCGTGGAGGACGGCTGTGTGAGGGTTGTTGTGAGTTTGTGTGTAGGCCTTCCTGCTGCTCGCACTGCAGCATGACTGTGCAGCTGATGCTGTTCATGCTTTCTTCAGAGACACACCCACTCCACCTGCACACTCACAGCAAAGCAGATGTGTTACCACGTAATGAAGTGATGCCTCTGCAGGTGCTTGCAGTCGACACATGCAAAGGAACGCTGTCCTCTGATGAGACCTGTTGTGATATTTTGATACCATGGTAGCATTTACAGGATATTGTTTTATAGTGATATTATACATGAAACTGTTACTCAATAAGGCCCATTTACTAGTTGTTTTTCTCTTTCTCTCTGACCCAAGAATTAATGTGTAAGACTCACAGGCTGGTACCCCAAGGTCGAAAACACCACAGAGACGAGACCACTTCCTTACTCCCATCCTCCCTTCCTTATCCTTTAGAAAAGGCTCGTTAAAGGCCAGGTGGTTTGTTTCAGAATTCACTAATGAAAGAACTCTGTATTCTATGTCTAGGAGTGTATTTTGCTGGGATGATCATAAATTGTAGCTGAACTGATAAACTACACAAAGGATACTTCTTTGCTCAGAAGGCAGGAAGACGTTTCCTTATTTGGTCTGTACCGGTTTGAACTGAGAATCTGCTGACACACGAACCTTTTTCCTCTATATAAACTGTTGTCTGATGAATAAACCTTTGAGTTGATTGTGGGAGAGCAACCTGAAACAGTCTATGTGTCACTTTGTTCTCCTAACTGCTCCCGGCGCTGTAACTAACCCGCTGAACGGCATACTTGAGTGTTACTTTGAATAATTAGGAATCTTATAAGGAAAGGACAAAACTCTGCTTATCGGTGATCACGCCTCGGAGGAAACCCGATCCACAGATGAACCCGGGACGGAGATTTCTTTCAAGACCGATGACGAGACGTCATTACTGAAGGAAATTTCCGTCCCGGGTTTCCTCCGTGGCGTGAGCGATAAGCAGAGTTTTGTCCTTTCCTTATAATACTCCTAATTATTCAAAGTAACACTTTGAATAACACATTTATCCTGTAAATGCTACCATGGTATCAAAATATCACAACAATTACCGTAGGAAAATCCACACAGTGTAAGTCTGTGTGGGACTGTGTGTGTCTGGGTCTGTGTGGGTCTGTGTGGACTGAGTGGGTTTGTGTGGGTCTGTGTAGGTCTGTGTGGGAGTGTGTGGGTCTGTGTAGGTCTGTGTGATCCTGGTGATCCTAAATCCTGGAGCTTGTTCCTGGGAACGTCTTCAAAGTAAATATTACATGTTGTGTTTTTGTTGAATGTTTATAAAGCGTAATTTGTATCCATTCTTGTTTTTTCTTTAAAGTTGTGAGAATATGCTGACCTAGTTTTGTCAGTTTTCTGTTTCCTTGTAATTCATTTTATTGGAAAAGGTTTTGGAAAGTGATTGGTTCATTGGCTCATGGACCCGCCCATTAATCAGGGGATTAAGAGCACCTGGAGGGGTGTGGTGAGGATGGTTTTTTGTTTGCCAAATGTCTGATGGGAGGACGGAAGGGTTAGAAAATGATTTTTTGACCACTTTTGAAGTTGTTAAAGCAAATTAAGGTAACTTTCGTTTAATTTTAAGTTGTAAGAAGTTATTTGGTTGATTTTTGTTTATAATTTTGCACAAAATAAACGGCATATGATTTTTAAACAATGGAGTCAGAAGTGCGTTCTAAAACAAACCTCCTGTTGCCACCCATGGCCTTTTCTGGGACTTCGTTGGTGTTTGGAATATAAAAGGCCGTGACATTAACCAATCAGCTGCAGTCTGATCTGTAGTTTCCTGTTAGTATGTAAAGCTTAGACTGAACAGTATAATCTACGTTACAGACGCTGACTTTGTTCTGATGAGCTGCCAACCACAGTCAAAGAGACGTGTGGGCACTGAGACGAGGATCTTACATGTTTGCAAGATTTCTTGCAGGAGCTCGAAGTATCAGGTACTATATAGTATCAGCTGTATATACCTGTAGTACTGTGTATATATATACAGTATTTTACATGCAGAGCACCTCGAAGCGTCCTTAGATATTAATTTAAAACATTCTCGTACAGACTGGTTTTTATTTTGATCATAAACAGCTTCAAACATCACAGATGGAAACAGGCTGGTGTCCTGCACGTGCTCCAGGGATGACTGGACAATCCATGTTCACATCCTTCCTGATGAAAACAGACCTTTCAAAATAAAAGTTTGACCACAACTGTGAGAGCACCTGAACACTTACAGAGTTTAGAACAGGGGTGGGCAACTCCAGGCCTCGATGGCCGGTGTCCCTGCAGGTTTTAGATGTCCTTGAACCAACACAGCTGATTTAAATGGCTAAATTAGCTCCTCCCCATGTCCTGAAGTTCTCCAGAGGCCTGGCAACGAACGAATCATGTGATTCAAGTGTGTTGACCCAAGATGAGATCTAAAACCTGCAGAACACCGACCCTCGGGCCTGAAATTGCCCACCCCTGGTTCAGAACCATGATGGGTGCAGCAGTTAGCCATGTTGGCGTCCTTACGCGAGGTTCTCTCTGATGTGGAAACTAAAGGAGTAAAGATGTTGGTAAACATTAGCTGATGTTTGTCGCTGCTTGATGAAAATAACAAGAACTGTTCAGCAGGATCATCGTTCCACTGTATCCCACAGTATAAGATCATACAGGATTGACTGCATGTGTTCGTTCCACCGTAATCCTGTAAGGTGAACACTGTGGATCCAGACTAAAGCTTAGATCCACTCCAGCTCCCCCATCAGTCCTGCCTGAAGGTTACAACATCTCTGTTTTACAGTTGATTCAAAGGAAATCTGTAAGTGTTGCTGGATTCAGTGACTTCAGTTCCAGGAGCCCAAAGAATGGCAGCTGATTACCAAGTAAAGTACTGGTCACATCAACACTGCATTGTTACAGTACTCTGTGTAGTTGTTAATAGTTCCACATGTTTTGGTTAAACGCTGTGTAGCATCGAACACTGAGAGAAGCTAAGCTTTGTCTAACTGTAATCTGAATGTTTTAGCAAAGTAATGCAGTATTTACTGCAGTATGCAAACGACTGACCTCTGAAGGTGGCAGAGAGGAAACTCGCTCTCCCTGTTCCTCAAACATGATCTGCGCTGCGTGACAACGACACAGCTGTACAGAACACTGACGAGTTCATTTCATTCATTCTTATTCATTCTGTATCACAGCCAATCAGATGAACCAGATTTTTAAAAAAATAACACAAAACAAACAAACGGTCAGGACAAAAATTTCTTTCAGGTACATAAACTATGAAGTAGTCAACAAAAAACCAAGTGCAATATGCACGACACAGACTCAGAGATGGAGCGAGCTTAACGGGCTCTTTCTCCTGTCAATCACAACAACTGTTATTATTTCATTAGCTGTCGTTTATTTACCAAAGTCAGTTGTTGTTAACAGGGCTGCTGATCATTGCTGGTTAGAGCTGCATGCACAGCTTTGAGAACAGTGTTTAATAAGTGTTCATATTTATTTGGGACTTGGCTCTACCTCCTGGCTGTAGCTCAGGCGGTAGAGCAGGTCATCTGCTGATCGGACGGTTGGTGGTTCGATTCCTGGCTCCAACAGTCTGCATGCCTATAATGTAGAATGAGTCCATTTAGAAACAACTTAAAGTCTAATGCACGAAGGCTGTGATGGATTTACTGACAGTTTGAAGAGGATCACAGATGAACCTCAGCAGCTTCCATATCACAGCTTATGGACACTCAGCACAAAGCTGTTATTTTTCGTGTCTATTGTGCAGAACAAGAGTTTTCAGCACTTTCTGACAGTAGCTGACAGCAAACACAGAGAACCTGTTAAAAACTCAGCCGAGTGAGACGTCGTGTTTCAGTCGCTGTGGACACTGGTCATGAGGGGTTTCCTCGGCATCACTGTGCATCACACACAGGTGACTGAATCTGTGAGAAATCTGGAGCTACATGTGACGAATACAGACAAACGATTTGTGACAATGCTGCCAGCGTGTGGAGAGCTTCCCCACTGAGCAGGTGAGGAACATGATGATGATGATGGTGATCAGAGCTCTGGCACGTCTTCACCTCGGATGATCCGACGCAGTAGCGGCTGCTATGGCAAACACAGAGATGGCTGTCAGAGACCATCTCCTTCTCTTTGGAAGTTATCTAAGCTGCACACAAGCACAACATTCAAAGACGTGTTTGAAGCTGCTGCTGTGATCGCAGGTGGACTTCAGCCCCGAGACAAGTGGAGGCAGTTCTCCAGTGTGAACATCTGATCAGCAGGAGCTATTGTTCACAGCACAGAGCCGATGCTGCTGAGGGAGATGCCGGACATCTGGAAGCCTTTCAGCGAAGCAACAGATTTGAGAAAATAGTTTTGATCCGTGATGTCCTTCAGTCACCACATGGAGAAGCTGAAGCCACCGTCTGTTTCCTGAATGGCCTGGTCAGGAGTCTCCAAGCATCTTTGAACACAAGATTCTTGGAATCTTTATCCGTGTCCGAATGGATCTCTGCCCCCTCAGATCCAGTGACCTCACAGCAGCTGCTTTGGATCCTGGATCCTGTCGGGACATAAAGACAGGTGACACAAACCTTAAAGGTAAAGACTGAATTTAGTGGGAGTTTTTCGTCTAAAATTGTAATAAAGGCTCTTTGCTGTTGTTAATTTGTTTGGTCAGATCATCTGCAAAGTCAGAGTAACCTGTGACTCCTGGTGATGATGGAGGACTCTGCTGCTTCCTGTAAGAGGCAGAGGAAGGATGTGGATCCTGCTGATGCACCGAGCGCCTCTGGGTCTTCCTGCACTACTCCATGTGGCCACCGCAGTTTGGCAGCTCTGCATGGAGAGCTGCAGTGGAGCGAGTTCAGCTATGGTGGCATCATTTTACAAATGACTGACAGACTGCAATGCAGAACAGTTAGTGCACAGTTAGTGTGTGTTACTCACACAAACACACAGAGCGCAGAGGACACGCTAAGCACGCTGCAGTAAATTTACTGCGATGGCTGTTTGCTCTGTACAGTCTCCCGTCTGAACAGGAAGTTCTGGTTTTTCATTGAATGTTCATTCTGTGACTCTTCTTGCAGCTGAGCTGAGCTGTACATTACTGAGGTGCAATTTCAGGATCACTTTGTGTATATTCTGCAAGTTCCTCAGGTGTTGAGATAAACGCAGATTTCAAAAAGAACACATGGTCTGTTATTTACATTTAACATATAACTGCAACATTGTTTTAAAAAAAGGACGGACTTGAAATTCAAAGATTCGGACTCGACTCTGACTTGAGGATAAAGACTTGAGACTTGGTCCCACCTCTGGAGCAACACATGGAAGATTAAATTAAATGATAAAACAGTTACAAACTGTGTTGCTGAATAATTGATGTTCATAAAAAATGAGCTCATTCCAAAGCTACCAAACACTGAGGATAAAACGGGTAAACCTTCACCTTCTCAGAGCAGCCCTCCACTCCACCAACGTCACAACACTGCATGTGTTTGAGGCCTGAAACTGAACGTGTGTTTTTAGAGGACCTGTTATGATGGAAAATATCGAATGATTGCTCGAGACTTTTTACAATTAACCATGTTACTGATTTTGTTAAACATCCTGTAATCGTGCTCTAACAAGTTTAAAAATCATATACACTTTAAGGACACATCAGATAAAGTTGAGTTGAGCAGTTTTATAGTATAACGTGCATCTGTCTGCCCAGCATGTGTTAGAGCTCTGTAACTGAGTATTTCACCGTATTAGCTTGTGATTGGTGTCTATGTGGACCAGGGAGAGACGGCCTCGCTCCGAGTAGCTTCTTCTCACAGCACAGCCTGGTTCTACAATCTGTGAGAAGATCCCTGCAGCATCATGTCGATGCATGGAGGCCATCATTGTCCCCCTCTGAACACAGACACCAAATATTGCTGAACTATTGGATGGGTTTGATTTCTGATAGCTGACATGATGTGCTGTATGTTCCTCTCACAGACAAGTCAGAACCATGCAACAGTCTGAGGATGTGCTGAGAGAGTGGAACGTTCACAGGTGTGTGATGGTGTTCAAAACAGCGCGCACCATCAACCACGCACTTTCAGCGTTTATCTGAAGAGTGACACTTGATTAGGAACACAGCACTCGAGTCCTGTGGAAGTGCCGGTTTGCAGATGTGCTGTTGTCAGGTTGGTATCACTGAGGCTGCAGGGACCTGTGGAAGCTGTGCCCCCCCACTCGATCCTCAGAGGGTTTGTAACGTGCTCCCCACCAGCTGCTCTGCGCAGGATGAGCGGAGCCAGCAGGGAGGCGTGTCTGTGCTCCTCTCCTGCTGTGGAGGAGCTGCTCGGGGTTTGTTTCTGCTTCATCGCTGTGTGGTCATGTGACCAGCTGAGCAGGTGTTTGATGATATAATCAATGACTGTTGATATCACGACTTTATGTTTGCGTGTGTAGTTTCCTGCTGAGGTGGATAAGCATGATGCTATGCCGTCCGACAGGTCTGCTGTGCTTCCACAGAAAGACCTCCCCCAGTTTCAGGTTACACTCACTTCTTTGGAAGCTGAAATCAAAGTTCAGAGACAAACTCAGTGTGAACACATCACAGCTCCTCACACTGAGAGAGCAGCAGCCCTGAAGCCCGTCTGACAGGCACCAGCGAGTGGAAGTGCTCCTTTCTCTGTCATCTTTTCGAGCTGAAAGGTGAGTGTGTCTGCCGTTTCTACCTGAAGCTCCTCGTCAGGCTCTGGCTTGGCCGTTGAGGGCGAGCGCCACAGAAGGTTTCCTTCCTGCGAGCCTGACGTCTGCTCTCGCTGGTGTCGATTAAAAGCAGCTGGAGGCCATCTTTGTAAACCTGCTGAGAACATCTGCAGGGTTTGCTCCTTCTTTCACACTTCATCATCAGCCAGCTGTGTGTGATCGCTTTGTCTTTAATCTGGGATCAGGTTCAAACCAGTTTGAGCTGCAGTGGCAGGAAACAGCTGAGGGCGGGGCATGCTGACATTCCCGACTCCTGATTGGTGTCGGGGGTGTCCGCTGCTTCTGCGTTTTGTTTGTTTTGTGCAGGCCGAGTAAACGAGAACAGCCTGTGAAAGATAAGTCGTGTGCGAGTTGAGGCACCTTTAGGCTCCGCCTTGCTGGCGTCTGCTTTTTGAAGATCTCTGTGAGTTTGGGACTGACGGCCGTGGACGGGATTTAAAGTTCCTTCCATCCATCCTGTATCCCAGCTGACCCACAGCCGAACTGGGTGATGATCCTGACCAGTTTAAAGAACATTAATGCAAACTGACCACACAGAACACGTTACCATCACATACACATCATACAGACTCTGTATGAACCCATGTTGTTCGTGCAGCAACAGGAAGTAGTTTTTATTGTAGAGTTCATAGAGGTCATGCTTGAATATTTGTGTTCGTTTGGGGAGGCCTTTTGCTCCTCCCCTTTCACAAAGGATGCTCCAGTGTGTCCTCTGCTAAAGGAAGTAAAGGAAGCACTGAAGTGCCTTTAGTCCATAACATGTGGAGAATTCAGACAGCGCCGATGAGGGCAGGTACTTCCAGGTCACGCCTCCTTCCTGAACTAAACCCCGCCTCTTTCTGTGCCTCTGTCATAGTCGTCCATGTGTTTGTGGTGCACTGATTTATTACTGGAGATGTTTGCTAACACTGACTGTGTTTCACGTCGGCGCTCTCACAGTGTAAAGCTGGATCTGCGTCATCGCTTTACACCCGCGTACGCTCATTACCCATGATGCATCAGAGTCTGATCACAGTGTTTTCTGATGCTAGCAGGAAGCCGAGATGACGGAGCCGGACCTCGTCAGCATCCTGGAAGACATAACAGATGAGGAATTCAAGACCTTCAAGTGGAACCTGAAGAACGAGCGGTTTAGAGACATCGAGCCCATCAAAGTGAACCGGCTGTCGACGGCGGAGCGGTGCGACGCCGTGGATCTGATGGTGCAGAAGTATGACATGGACGGAGCCGTGCAGGTGATGGAGAGCATCTTTAAGAAGATCAACAGGAACGACCTGGTGAAGAAGCTGCGAAAGGTCATGGGTCAACCTGCAGGTCAGTGAGGCTGTGGGCAGGCGTGCACTTCCTTTAACCTGTTTGAGCGTTTGACATTCAGGTGACATCATCAGGGTCAGAGCAGCGTCACGCCGTGACAGGACGTGCAAACAGGAAGTGTGTGCAGAGTGTCTCTCTCCCTTTTAAGGTGCATTCAGAGCAAACAGCTGATGGAAGGAGCCGCCCGAGTCGGAGCTGCTGGATTGGATGTTCTCAGGAACTCTGAGGCTCCCGTGGTCGGAGGTCTTCGGCTTCACGCCGAGGCTCCCGTGGTCGGAGGTCTTCGGCCTCACTCTGACCTCGGCATTAATCCGTCCTCCTCTCTCTCACAGGTCTTCCAGGTCCCAATCTGCCAAAGACCGCCGCCGACTCCTCGGCAGAGGAGAAGTTGGCGGCCGTTCGCTCTCAGTTTATCGACAGAGTGTCCGAACCCGTCCTGAGGAAGCTGCTGGATAAACTCCTGGAGCGCCGCGTCATCATCGATGATGAAATGGATTTAGGCGGAGTGAGGAGCAGGGCGGATAAAGCCCGACAGGTGATCGACGTGGTGCGCAGAAAAGGATCCCAGGGCAGCTCGGCTCTGATCGCCGCTCTCTGCGAGGTGGATCCGTGCCTTTCACAGGAGCTGCAGCTGATGTGACGCACTGCCAGATGTTCAGCACTCACAGGAGAGCAAATTATGAATCATCTGTAACACCCAGAAGCAGCTGATACAGTTCAATGTTCAATCCTCCAATCCACTTACAGAAACACGAGCGCGAGGCTCGTCTATTTGGTTTGGTTTTCACATCAAAGATTTTCACAGAGACGATTTTCTATGCGTCTTTATACAAACAAAGATGTTCAAACAGCAGAACATGTCAGAGTTTCAGCAGGTTTCAGGACTGAAGTGTTCCAGAAACAAGGCTTTGAGTCAAACCTGAACAGTCGGCTCTGTGAAAACCTTCAGGATGGATGGAAACCAAGATCTCTGACTTCCAGTCTGAGAACAAAACAATCAGGAAAATGACTTTATTTGTAGAATTTTCATCGGACACTGATGTTAACGAGAAGTTTATTAGATTTTTTGGAAACATTTTAGAGCTGATTAGAATAAAAGTCCAACAGATTAATGAGGATTTGGCTGTTTTCATGTTGTTGAAGTCAAACGTGTCAGAGAGCAGAGGGTCAGACTTTCATGTTTCTTTCTGTAACTCTGATCAACGTGAAAATAAAAGATGAGTTTCCTGTCACTGTGTCTGCTTCAGTCTGTAAAGTAACCTTGAACATATTCAGTAACTGACAATCATTAGTGTGGATCATTGTGGGTTTCCACAAATGGATTTGTTACAGGCAGGAAGCTCTAATCTGTCCATCTTCATCTGTACGGGGCGATCGTGGCTCAAGAGTTGGGTGTTCGTTCGTAATCGGAAGGTTGCCGATTCGAGCCTCCGCTCGGACAGTCTCGGTCGTTGTGTCCTTGGGCAAGACACTTCACCTGCCGCCTACTGGTGTTGGCCAGAGGGGCCGATGATATGGCAGGCTCGCCTCTGTCAGTCTGTCCCAGGGCAGCTGTGGCTACACCTGTAGCTGCCTCCACCAGTGTGTGAATGTGAGAGTGAATGAATAGTGGAATTGTAAAGTGCTTTGAGGGGTCCCGAAAAGCGCTATATAAATGCAATCCATTATTATTATTATTATTATTATTATCATTATTATCTTCTACGTCAGAGAATAAAGACAAAAGATTCAGTTCAAAACGTCCTACCAGGAGCAGACGTAGTCCTGGGGCACTTCCACAGGAGTCAAAACCACCAAACCCCCTAAATTAGAACGTTATAGTTGTGCTGATTGTTTAACACTGATGAGCTACAGAGTGGACTACAGCTCTTTGCTGATCCTTCCCATGTGACGTGAACCTTTTCAGATCATCTATGTGCTTAAAAACACTTTTCAATAACCAGTTTAATGTTTCAATTCCATGAAACATGGACAACTTTCACTTTAAATATTAATCACAGTGATTAATATTTAAAGGCAACATAAGACACTGGAGTCGAGCTGTGATGTCATCAACTACACCGCGCGCTGCATCCTCCCATCCTCCGAGCGCCGCACTCCTGACCGAGCTTTCAAGCATGAACTAACAAGCACGCAGGAACTTTGTGTACTTGTTAGTGAGAAGTGTGTGCTAGACACAGGAAACGTGTGCTACACACTTCCTGTTACGTAGCCGTTTGACTTCCTGTTTCAGGGGAGAGGAAGAACAACTGCACGTTACAGAAGAAAAAGGAAGTGGACGAGCAGGTGAGTGTTCACGGTCTTCTTCTGCTGTCAGAGTGGGAGTGGGGCGGGGTCTGCTTCATTCTGTGGTGGAGGGTCCACCGGGTTTATCACACACTGGACTCTGGAGCGCTCTAAAACTGGTGAACGTTAGCTCTTCCTGTGAGGTCATATCCTATTTTCAAAGACGGTCCTACACCTGTCAGTGCAGGTGAGCTGGTAGTACGAAGGTAATAACCTGAGTGAGATAAAGCAAACAAATCGCCAGCACGCCTTCAGGTAAAGACTGACCTGGATCATGCACGTTTCCAGTAATGCAGTCATGTGACTTCTTGTACATGGACAGGTGACCCAGGCAGGGGCGGAGCGTGGGGGTGGCTTACTGGGCTGCTGCCTGTGAGTGCGCTGTTGGAGAAATGGAGCCAGAGGAGAGCTGAAGTTTGACCAGGTACCAAAGCAAATCATTCGTACTGTACAAATAATGTAAATATGACGGTGCATCACAAAAGATTGATATCAAACTGATCACTTGACCCATATTATGTTACTCGCTCTTC